ATGTGATGTACAGGGATATTGAAGTGATTTTACTTTATTGTCTTCAGTTAGTTGTGTTATATTGAGTGTGATTACCTTGAGCTATTGACTATTGTTTCAGCTGCAGCTTGAGTGGTGTGTCTGAGATATGGTCGACCAACACACAAAGCATGGATAATAAAGCTCGTGTTCCCTTTTTACTTGAATGGGTGTTTAAGTTTGCCACTTCTTTTTTTTTTACCTGCCGAATAACTTATTTTCTTGCCGCCTTCTGAAATTGCAGGCTTAAGAATGGTTGGACAAGTGAAGAAATTAAATTTACTGAACTTGTACATATAGCTTAGTTCTACCATAACAAACATATGGTCTTATGCTGCAGTTTTTTGGTAAATCCAGTCAGAAGATGGTAGAGTTCTTGCAAAGCTCGGTTGGGATCGTGCACAAGAACCACGCCGAGAGCATAACAACGTATATCAAGGAGAGTGTGGATGAGGAGCTGAAGGAAACACCCACTCGAAAGAAGAGAATCACATTGTGCGTTGAGGGAAATATCAGTGTCGGGAAAAGCACGTTCTTGCAGAGAATAGCCAATGAAACCCTTGAGCTTAGAGACCTTGTGGAGATTGTTCCCGAACCAATCGACAAGTGGCAGAATGTGGGCCCGGACCGCTTAAACATATTAGATGCATTTTATGCCGAGCCTGAGAGATATGCCTATACATTCCAGAACTACGTGTTTGTTACAAGGGTCATGCAGGAGAGAGAATCATCAGCTGGCATTAAGCCCCTCAGACTAATGGAAAGGAGTATATTCAGTGATAGGATGGTAAACACTATGCCGTTACACACCCGAAAATCATGTGTTGAGTTAAGTTTTTTAATGATTATTAACTAACCTTTTATTGCGCCATTTTCCTTCATGAAAGGTATTTGTTAGAGCTGTCCATGAGGCAAAGTGGATGAATGAGATGGAAATTAGTATCTATGATTCATGGTTTGATCCCGTTGTTTCAAGTTTGCCTGGTCTTATTCCTGATGGGTTTATCTACCTGAGAGCAAGCCCCGACACTTGCCACAAGCGTATGATGATGCGTAAGAGGACAGAAGAAGGTGGGGTCTCCCTTGATTATCTGCAAGGCTTGCATGAGAAGCATGAAAGTTGGCTTTTCCCATTCCAAAGTGGAAATCATGGAATCTTGTCCGTGAATAAACTACCCAAAGATGTGGATTGGTCATTGATTCCTAATATTAAAGACCGTGTGTTTTATTTGGAAGGTGATCATATGCACTCAAGCATTCAGAAGGTATATACAAACACACCTAGCATGTTTTGCCCACGTCTCAAGCATGCTATTGTTTGCTCGTAATTTTTGCGTTAATAGCTTTTCTTTCTTTTCGTGCTTATGAGCAGGTTCCCGCTTTGGTTCTTGACTGTGAACCTGACATTGATTTTAACAGGGACATAGAAGCGAAGCAGGAGTATGTTTAATTTTCATTTATTCTCATTATCGCCCATTTGGATTATTTTGTTTTTCACACATCTCAAAATGAATATTTAAATATTTTCTTTCTTTCCTGAATGCGTGAAGGTATGCTCGGCAAATTGCAGAGTTCTTTGAGTTTGTGAAGAAGATGAAAGAAGTTTCCGATGCAAAAAGTGGAGACGAGGCAGGAAAGGGCAAGCAGGGTCCATTATTTCTACCACATCATGGAAATCTATGGATGCCCGGTACGCAGCCGTTTCCAGATTCGGCCCTCAAACCACTGGATTTCAGACAATCCATGTCGGTTATGTCTTCATAGTGCTAATGGACTACTTTCTGAAGTCTCCTCACCAACTGGTTCAGATATGATGTTTTACTTTCTAGCCATGTATAAAAAGCCTTGTTTTTCGCCCCTTCTCATGAAACTTGTAGCTTGCTCTTTAGTGGTAGTTTGCTTCTTTTGGATATTGACACAAACATCTGCAGTTTACTAGGATCACTTGGTTCTTCGAATTGGGCTTTTGATTGAGAGTTTTAGCCACTCGAATATCATCAAATTCTCGCTTGAGTTGCATTTAATCTGTGGCTAATTCATGTACCTGTTTATCATTTACATCATATCAAGTCCACACTAAAATCACACATTTAAGTGTAAGCAAAGTACAATTGTGTTCCACATTTCTTTTAAAGTTGAGGCTAGCCCGCAAAAGATGGCGAATTAATTTAAACCCATAATCAATATTGAATCCCGGGAAACCCGACCCAACAAGTATATTGCTCGTTCAAGTTTCTTCGAATTCAATTCTGTACTTTGGTTCAATAGTTGACTAAAAGGTTGGTTTTTGTTACAATTTGAAGCTCATTGTTCTAGTTAATCATTTTAATCTTTTTGGAAAGTGCTGATCATCGAAATAGTTGGTAAACTGATTGAAGAATTTAAATCGGAGTGAAATAGTGCTGCATTTTATTTTACAGTAATTGTGTGACATGCATATATCTGCGCATAGTTGGATAAAGTTTTGATCTTGATGACTTGATCAACTGGTTTTGTTCCTTTCCCCAGATAATGCGGCTCTCATATGTGTGTTTGTAATATGAGTACTTATTCGAGTTCACCATGAATAATAGCAGCTTTGTAAACACATTGAATGTACTGTGCTTCCTGTTATTACTGAGAACGTTACTGCCGAAAAATGTTATCTTTACCGTGCACAGACATATAACATAGCTAAGGGGATTAGTAGGAAAGTCCTCTAATATGTAAAAAGACGTGCCTTTCTAAGTATGCCTCCACATTTCATCGAAATAGAGTAAAATAATTTTTAAGTGAAATTAGATTCACTTTTGTCAACACCTGTTGAAAATAAGGCTACTTTCTTGAATAATTGAGAACATCCATGGGGCACCATTATGAGGCTACTTCTTGAACTATTGAAAAACACACATTGAGCATAGATTAGTATTTTAGGGAATGAGTGAAGTAAACTTTAGGGATTGAGCATAGATTAGTATTCTGATTAGATATTGAGATCGTTGACATAACCGAACTAGGATCGAATGATCATTTGGGGCCCACATCTCATTTTAACACATGGTTACCAGCTTGAGATGTTGAAGTCAAGCAACCGAACATTTGTTTATGATAAAAGTTGCGAATTTTTTTTTTTAATAATCCTTTTTTCCTTGTTCAAATCACATGCTAGAAAATTTTGTCGACTTTCTTGGATCCTGCACGGAGAATCCGCTATAATCTAAATTGCGTATATTACGCATACACAATTTGCATAGTTCGATTTTGGGGCAGTGGTGCTCTTGTTTTTTCTTTATGAATCATGTGGCTGGTTGAAAAACTTTGGTGCTTTGTAACAACTCATGATCTGCAGGGACTGTACAGGCATTATTTTTTGGGAATTTGGTTGTAACAACTCTTGGTATTTTGGGTGTACTGTGCCAAGATTCTCCTAGCTGTTGAAGGCTATTTTTGGAATAGTGGTATCTTTTTGGGTGGTTATGCCCAACAACATTTGGAGTTCCAAGTCTTGTGAACTTGTCCTTTTGTGCCACATCAAGCTATATGTACCTAGTAGTACTACATTCTAATCGAGCTGCTCGTGAGCGCTCGAGTCAAAGCTCGGCTCAAGCTCGAGCACCTCGAAGTTGAGCTTGTACGCTATATGCTCGAGTATAAAGTGTAATTTGCATAAACACAATCAACCCGAGCTAAACTCGGTCGAACTCGTGTAAATCTTACTTGAATAGAATTTTCTTATTTAGAATGTGAGTCGAACTCGAGCGAAATTCAAACTGATGAAACTTGAGCCGATGTCAAGTTAGCATTTGTATGTATGTCAACCCGAGCCTTAAAAAGTCGAGCTCGTGCTTAATCTTAAGCAACATTGAATGAGACAAATATTCAACTTTAGGTATTAGGTATCGGCATTTATTTGGTTATCACGAGTACGGAGTATCCATATCCCCTGATTTATGGCAAGATATTATATATAATTACATATGGAGAATTTGGTAACTGTTTTGTTTTATTTTTATTTTTATTTTTTATTTTTTGGCTCAAATGCATGTAATCTCAATATCTTGGCAGCTGAAAAGTAAAGGAAGGTGGATACAAAAAGGAAAGGTTAAAGTCTTAAAAGACATACCACCTCCGTCCTTAGGCCGGTAGCTTGAGCGTGATATTATTGGGGTGGCTTATCCCCGTCATGTTTTGTCCTCGTAGTAGTTAGACTTCGGCCCCCCTTTATTATACCCGAAAAAAAAGTCTTAAAAGACAAAAAAAGAAAAAAGTCTTACAAGACAAAAATCTGGTGCCAATTGGCCTAATGGGTTTGTATTTATTCAGATGGTTAGCTTTGGCTTATGGCAAATATAATTTCTGTTCAAAGATGTGTATTTTAAATTTAGAATTGTCATATAATGAAATGATTGTGTCACATTAGCTGGAAAATGTTTGGAAATTTAATATACAATATATATATATATAATTATATATTAAAAAAATTGTTGAAAAAGTGTGTTAGACATATACAAAGAGAAATGGATAAAAAGGTGGATTTTCCATTGAATGTAAAGGTGGATTTTCCATTGAATGCAAAATATGTATTATCTGTTACTTTAATTTAAAATATTATTATTTTAATTTATGAAAAATAAAAATAGTACTTAATTTCAAGCACATATATAACTCAAAAAGGGGCTGTTAAATAAAAAGCGTACCGAAATTAAAGATCTGATCATCTCACCACCAACGACATCCGCCAATCTCAACCCTACAATGTACGAGAGGCAACAAGTATTGTGACTGTCTCGTACATTATTTCGTACATTACATGCAAAATATCTGTTATACTCTTACTTTAATTTACAATATTAATTATTTTAGTTTATAAAAAAAAAATAGTGTTTAATTTCAAGCACATATAATTGCTAATCGATTTGATGTTTTGAGTTCATATGAGCCTTCAATTTGAAGTGTCACTTTATGTGCCATTATTTTCAATTATAGTTTTGGATTTTCTGCTAGTTTTGGTGACAGCAAGTCGTCGGACAACGGTTTGATTGGTCGTTGCTAGTTTTTAACGAAAAATTAACAATGTGAACCACAAATGATTAATCGATGTAGTGTTGCGTATAAAAAAAGGACAATGCTACTTGTACATTCCTCTTTACACCTTGGTTTACATCCAAAGTGTGTATGTACACATTTACCATTAATGAACAATTTATTTAAATTGTGCATTAAGGGTAAATATGTACATACACACCTTGGATGTAAACCAAGGTGTAAAGGGGAATGTACAAGTAGCATTATTCAAAAAAGATTAAGTGAAAACTTCAGCTACCAAAAGTAGAAATAAGGTAAAGTTTAGGTACCATATAAGAATTTTTCTCAATAGCTTTTAAGTAAGGGTAATTTTGTCGTTTAATTGATGAAATATATTTTAAACATTTATTTGAGCAAGTAAAAGAGCACATGTCATAATTTCAATGAGGTATATACGAAGGGTATTTGTCTAACGCGAATTGATCGACTCATCCAACGCGAATTGACTCGTCTAACGGTTAGATAAATTGAACTAAGAATCTAGAGATGTAGACGCGTGTCTGATTGGCAAACATTAATGTGCCCAAGGTATGCACAACCGATCGACTCATCTAACGCAGAATTGACTCGTCTACCGATTAGATAAATTGAAATACAAATTTGTAGATGGTGTTAGGACACGAGAAAGACCATAATAAAAATTAAAATAAAATGACTTGTTTATTTAATCTTTCCTTCATCATTGCTTGTTATCTCTTTT